TGTGTTCTATGGGATCTGTACAGCTTTAGCAGCTGATTCCCAGCTGGTACAAGTTTAGGATCCAAGACTTACATCAATCTTTTTAAAATTTTTATTTTTATAGTACATATTTGTTGTACATAATAATTACATTCATCTCGGGGAGTTGGTACCTGTGCATAATACATCTTAATTTTTTTTTTTTTACATCTCCCTTACCCACCTCCCTCAAGTCGAACAGTTGGTGGCTTTTCAGAGCAGACTCTTGGTATTTCATTTCCAGCTAGTTTCATGCTCTTCACTTGCTCTTCTGACCCATTTTATTTTGCTCAGGATAATGGGGTTTGGGGCAGAGATATAGCTCAGTGGCATAGCACCTGCCTGGCAAGTGCAAGGTCCTGAGTTTGATTCCTGGTGCCAAAAAAACCCCAGGATAATGGGGTTAACCTGAGCATACTTGAAACAGTAGCTTCAAGTGAGAGATCCTTGATCCAGCCTTTGCTACATGGATGGATTCTTTAGTTTCCCTGAAAAGTCTCAAAGGACCTTTGAAAATGCCTTTGAGGCTGGCCATGGGGACACATCCCAGCTATTCAGGAAGTTCAGATGGAAGGATTGGGAGGTTGAGCCTAACCTGCATTTACCTCCTATGAGTTGAATACTAAATTGATTGACTTTTCCAATACTCTAAAGCCCCAATTTTTCCTATGCTGCCCAGTCTGGCATCCATGAGCTATCTGTGGCTATTGAGGACTAGAAATGATACCTGTTTGAACTGATAGGTACTATAAGTATAAAATTCATGAGACTTCAATGACTCAGTTAAAAAAATACAATATCCCATTAATAAATTTCACATTAATTTAAAATTAAAATATTTTTCATATGTTAAGTCTGTTGTTAAAATTAGCACATGCATATAATCCCAGGACTCAGGAGGCTGAGGCAGGAACATCACAACTTCAAAGCCAGCCAGATATCTACATAGCCAGACATTGTTTAAAAAAAAAATTAGGGCTGTTTATCTCAGTGTTAAGAGTGCTTACCTACCATGCCTGAGGCTCTAAATTCTATCCCCAGCACCACACATGTAAAAACAAAACAAAAAACTACCATTAAAAAGTCTTAAGCACTTTAGGTCTTCCTTGTGAAGGCTCCAGTGTCACATAAACATATACCATGGTCTGGCACAGTGGCACACACCTATAATCCTAGCTGTTCCCAAGAGTGAGGTAGGAGGATTGCAGTTTGGAGACCAATCAGAGACAACTTGGTGAAACTCTTATTTCAAACATACGTGGCTGGGGTTGAAGCTCAGTGGCAGAGCACCCCTAGGTTCATTCACCAGTAATGAGGTGGCAGGGGGCATATGCCATGAACTCAGAAAGGAAAGGTGTTTTTCCTCGCCCACACTTGCCACTGCTGAGCTGATAGCAAACTAAAATTCAGATAAAGCAGATCTGAAAATAAATGATTTAAAAATCAGACATTTTCATACCATAACTTTAATTTACATATCAATGGACACAGAGCTAAAATATGGAATTTCCATCATTCAGTAACCCCTCTGCTAAATGAATGAGTGAATGCAGTGGTGCTGTCGTTGTGGTGGATTAAATAATGGTCAACTTGTAACACCTGGCTGAACTGAATCAGCGTGGTTCTGCGTGCAGAAGACCCACGAGAGGATTGTTGCCAACAGCATAAAAGGAGAACTGGAGAAGATTGAATGCTGTTGATCCTCCTGAAGAAGCTTGTCATGCTGGCTTTCTTTTTTTTTTTTTTT